ATAAAATGGTTCGAAATTCACACAACAAATATTTCACTTAACAGTGGAAATGTTGGGCTCAATTGTAATCATAAGTAAAAGACTACCTGTATTGGTTTGATATAACTTTTTATCTGTAGTGAAAGAAAGTAATCTTTAAAAATATTTACTAGTAAAAAAGCTATTGGTGACATTCTAGGTAATAGCAGGGATGGGCTGCTGCCGGTTCGTACCGGTTTAGGCAAACCAGATACTAATTTTATAACTGGTTCACCAAACCAGTAGTTCTGGCGACTAGCTGGCCCCTCCCACCCTGCTCCTCCCCTCCCAGGTATCTCCATGCGGTTTGTTTTGGATCCTAGGTAACTGCAAGATCTGCGAGGAGGTTTGGTGAGGGCAAAAAACAGGTCTCCAGAGGCTCTGGAAGGCCAGAAATGAGTCCATGTCTGGCCTTCAGAGAGCCCCCAAAGCCCAGGGAGGAGGGAAAGAAGCCTCCTGGAAGCTCAAGGAAAGCCTCTGGAGCCCAGGGAGGGTGACAAATGGGTCTCCCAGAAGTTCCAGAAGGAGCCTCTGGAGCCCAGGGAGGCTGTTTTGACCTCTTGGAAGCTTGAGAAAAGCCTCAAAAGCCAGGGGTGGGCAACCCCCCCACCGTGGTGCAGGAGGCAGACTAGGTCATGCCCACCATGGCTACACCCACCCAGCAATCAGGCAGAAAACTGGTTACTAAATTTTTTGATGTCCACCCCTGGGTAATAGTAGTTTTGGTAAACACATATAGGAAAAAGTGAAAATTGGCCAGAAAAATGCTGGAGGGAAAGTATATACAGACAACACAGTGAAGGTAGGGATTGACCAAAACTTGCTACTGAAGCTAAAATCAGTGGTGGAACCAACTGGTCAGCTTGTGATATGCTCTGTAAACTTGTGCAGTAGTATCCTCCTGACAAGTTGAATGTACAAAATTGTTTCTGAACCTTCAGCAGAAAGATGATGATGCTTCTGGTATATGCTAGGATACATTTCAATACTTACTGTACGAGCATCCAAAAGCTTCAACCCGCAGACCAATATTTCCATTCGGGTTCCATGTCACAGGCACGAAGCGTACAAAGCGAGCTTTAACAGAGTGAAGGAATTTGTGCTGGACCACACTGTCAGCATTGACATTGCCTTGGAAAACCTGCAAAGAAGAAGGAGAAGGCTGGATATAATGTAGCATTTTGGGGGGATTTTTAGCAAATAAACTCCATATGGTCATTCATTTCATCCCAACAGATTCAGTTCGTGCCAAAATAGTAGCCCATGGCTCTGTAATGCAGGATGCAATTATAGCTTCTCTGATAGGTAACTGTCCAGCCTCTACTTACATGCCTTTAGGATTCAGCCTCTTCCAAGACAGTTTGTTCCAACTATCAAACAACTCATAATGCAAGGAAATTTCTTTTTATGCTTAGCTGCAATTTGCTTCCCTGCCACTTATATTCCTCAGGGTTAGGCTTGCTCTCTAAAGCAAGAGAATGATTTGAAAATAACTATCGTTATCTGTTCTTAAGCTTTTATTTTCCAAGCTAACAAACTTCAGCTTCTTCAGTGCTTGCTTCTAGGACATGGTTTTGAAACTCCAATTTCTCAATGTGTTCTTTTTTTCTTTTTCAAAAAAGTTTTTTATTTTATTTTATACATACAATAATTCCATTCCATTTCAACCGTTTGTCGACTAGGTACATATTTCATGTGCTTACAATTATAATGGATATTTTTCTTACCAATATATCAATAATCACATTTTCTTATATATCTTATCTACTATATCTGTTTTTTTTAACATTCTTATCTTATTGCTTTATATATTCATCTAATTCAGTTTAATTTGTTTTATTTTCTAACCATTGATAAAATAAATCCCATACCATATAATATTCCATTTTGTCTTTTTCTTTAATTACCAATGTTATCTGTTCATTTCTGCACATTCAAATATTTTCTCAATTACTTTTCCCTCTATCGGTATCTTATCGCTTTTCTAATTCTGAGCAAATACAATTCTAGCTGCTGTTAATACATGCATGACTAAATATGTTTTTTCTTGACTGTAACCTTCAGGTACCATTCCTAATAAAAATATTTCAGGTTTCAAGTCAATGTGTTTCTTGAGAAAGACATAGACATAAGTATAGACATGCTGATTTATGTATTTACGGAATCCAACATTAACATGCAGATAGATCAATGCCAAATAATTGTTTTTTCTCAGTCAGGATACTATATTTTTGCAACTATAGCCCCAAAATATAATAAATACCAATACTAGTATTGATATTTTAAAACACCAGTACTATTACTGGTATTACTATAGTGTGTGATGACCAAAGGTGGCAAGAATATTTGTCATGCCCCTGTTGGAATCTGATTCTGTGCGGGAGGTCGACCAGCTGACAGGGAGTAGGAGTGTGGCTTTGGTGGCTGTGGAAGAAATTGGGGAAGGGCACAGTCCAGCTGGGCAAAGTAGGGGAGAGGTAGAGCAAGGCAGAGAGAATTCAGAGGAAGATCCAGGCCCACCCCCTCTTCATCCTAGAGCATGCAGGGAGGAACAGAGAAGGGAGCAACATGAGTTGCGTGGCTTATGCGGGAGGAAAGGGCCCTAATTCCCTTCATTAGCTGCAGCTGGGAACACAGTGTTTTAAAAGGCAAGCTATGCACAGCAAAGATGCTGGAAGCAAACTGTGAATTATCTTTGTTGAGGCTTATCTGGGTTCCTGGCGATTTCCCAACTGTGTGTGTTTTGTTGGCTTTGAAGTCTGCAATTCCTTATCCTGCCATGTCCAGTTAATTGCTGCAGCATGGTTTGTGTAGATTTTTATTTACATTTTATATGTTCTTTGTTTTCAGACTGAATTTCCTCCACTTAAATACTGTTCTTGGGAGAGTTTTTTCTCCATCAAAAGGTAACTGGACATTGGCGGCAAAGTTGGAGGTATTAAAGGAACTTTTCTTACTTATGTGACTGTGTTGCCTTTGTGCCACGCCCCAGGTCATCACAAAATCTCTAATGCCTAGATACAATTGATAAAATTGCTAGATAAAATTGCTGCTAAAATGTGGCTTTTAATGTTACAGAAGGAGAAAACATTACATGCAGGGGTATTGATCATATTAATTGAATTTAAATTCAATATGGAATTTGCTTTTGTACTACCCACTTATATTTCCTAGACATTCCTACTTGGATTATACACCCCAGGCCAGGTGAAAGGGCAACTATAAACCTTGACCAGAAAACATTGTGTGCTGTGGCTCTAATATCCTCTCTTAGAAATCTACTAATTTCCTCTCAACAAATGTATTCTTTTGCCTTGCCAAGACCATCCCTTCCATCTGCTTTATTAAAAAAAAGAAGAATAATGAAATTGTTTATTGGTATGAAATGATAAGGGATGTGGTGACTCAGTGGCTAAGATGCTGAGCTTGTTGATCAGAAGGGTCAGCAGTTTGGTGGTTCAAATCCCTAGCACTGTGTAATGGAATGAGATCCCAGCTTCTGCCAACCTAGCAGTTCGAAAGCATGTAAAAATGCAAGTAGAAAAATAGGGACACTGGTGGGAAGGTAACAGCGCTCCGTGTGCCTTCGGCTTTTAGTCATGTTGGTCACATGACCACAGAGATGTCTTCGGACAGCACTGGCTCTTCAGCTTTGTAATGGAGATGAGCACCACCCCCTAGAGCCGGAAACAACTAGTATGTATGTGCGAGGGGAACCTTTCCCTTTATCTTATGAAACAATAGCCTGATGAAATACTTGAGCTGTTCAGTTGTCTCTTTAAAACAGAGCATAAACACAAGAATGTGTTGACCCAAATAAAACATACCAGGCTATTATTATTATTTGCAACTTTACTTTTCACTTTAGACCTTAATGTCAACCATTAAAAGGGGCCATATTGCTGTTATGCTTCCCTACACCCCAAAATCAAGAATTTCTCTTTCCTTTGTGTGTATGTTTGTGGGTTGTTTTTTTTTTTTTTTTTTTGGTGAGCTGCTGTTATTTACATCACCTGGGAACTAGAGTGGAAAGAAGGTAAATGGGGGACAAAGATTAATATTTTAAGCATCAACCTCTTGCTTAAAGCTGTAAAAAGCAAACAGAAAAGATGTAAGTTGGCAGAGACACTGAGGAATGGGGAAAGCAAAACTCTCCTTTAGAAAAGACTGTCAGTTCCACAAGGCATAATAAATTAAATGGCTCAGGCTGATGTGCAACTTTCAATCCCACTTGATTCAAGAAGCCTCAGGACAGTTAGCTCCAGCATATTTAGAGATCTATGTTAGTCAGCTACCACAGTGGCTGTGGCGATTATCCTCTTTCCCACTTTATTAGGTAGGTAATGGGTACGGTTTCAATTGTACATAGAATGAAGTCATGTTGGCACACACTTGAGGGATGAGATAAAGAACTGGGGATTAATTACTTTCCAACTGATTTTTTTTTTAAGAAGTAAATGAGGGATTCTTATCTGCCGAAGTTTCAACGATGGCTGAAACTAAAGAAACTAAATAAATATATAAAAGATTTTTTGTGAGTTGTATTGCAGAATTTTCAATTTGCAGTATTTTATTCCCAAAGTAAAAAGGATCAAATGTGAGCCTCTGCCCAACACTGCCTACTCTATACCTGCTACATACAATGCCAAACTGAATTCTGCACTCTTGAAAACATTTTAAGAGGATTTGATGCATATGCCACATTTATGACTTTGGTGAAAACAAACTTATCATGATGCCTCCTTGAAAAAAAAATGACTGTGAGAATTCAGTTCATCAAACTTTGTTGAAGCTAAACTGCTAAAGTTTGTTACAATATGTTTTGAGCAGATCTAAAAAAATTAAGATCTTAGGATCAAACTTAAGGATGAACATACTGTATATCACATTATGTAACGTAACATAATATAACAACATAACATAACATGTACCCTTTTGCATATCTGTATTATTGATGATATGTGGGTCATCACCGTAAAAAAATGATGTGTATATATGTGTGTGTGTGTACATGCAAAATACAGGTGTAGAAGTGGGGGAAAAGGTAAACAAATTAAACATAGAATTATTCCACCTTTCTTTTCTTTCCCCTCTTGGTTTAGAAAACTAAATCTTCTGGAATGGAATGCCTTTTTGACAAGAATGTTCTGTGACATTTTGAATTTATTATTATACCACCAGGAGAAAATATTTGTCAAGTTAACCAGTCTATGCTGACTGGAAAGATGAGAAGACTCTCACCTCTTATCTAAATTCTGTGAAAATACTATACAAAAGTAATGCCAAGTTGGAAGTAACCAATCAAAGTGATCAAGTGATCACTGAGAAAAAGCTAAATCCAATATGTTATTTCTGGAACTTGCTTTTATTTATTTTTGGGAAAATGAGCAAGATATATTCAAATTTGGTGTGGGTTGAGTGGGCTTTAATTTTTTTTAACCTAGCCTAAAGAAGTGGCTACTCTTCACATATAAACAGAGAAGGTGACCTAGTCTACTAGAGGAAAATAGTAAATGATAAGATACTGCCTTCCACATGACTGCATTTTAATTGCAAGATTCATTCAAACAGAAATACGCTTATCAAAAGTAGCTAAGCTGCCTACCTTCTCTGTTTAATATTTCGGATAAAATATGGAAAAAATGTAACTAGATACTTTCCTATAGCAATATTTTAGAAGTACCACTGTATAGGTTAGACTGGGACCAAGAGAAACCAAGCTTTAATTCCCTATTCAAGCATAGAAGTATAATAGCTTTTACTTAGTCCAACCTATTTCACAAGGTTGTTATTGCAGGGGGAAAAATTAGGAGATATGTCTTACCCTGAGCTCCTAGAAGATGTTAGCTGGTTTTCCAGATGTTTGTAGGCCCGGAATACAAATCCACAAACCAACAAACAGTGATGTATGTAGTCATTTATTTGTACATATAACTCACATCCCATCCAGTGCTAACGGTTTGAAATCTGAACTAGGTTAGCGCTGGAAGCATTTGCCTTCTAACACACTTATAGAGTAACCCCGCACTCCTAATCACAGATACCTCCTACTCACCACCCTATCCTAAACCCCTGTGTAACAAACGTTTCCTAATATGGCTAATCCAGCTTCATTCCTATATTCCCCCATCCCACAGTCTA